AAACGTGCAACCATCAAACCACTTTTTGATGAAATTTACAGTGATAGTAAAAATCAAAACTTTGACCATCTCATCTAATTATTTAAGATTTTGAATTCAACCATTAAACTTAAAAGTTCCATTTGTTGCCTTGCAGTTATGTATGGAGGAAAGAAAGGAAAAGAGCTGAGTCTATGGACATGCCAGTCTCCAAAGCAAAATGTCTTTTCTACAACCTAATCATGATATCCACATCTTCAACGTACCTCTATCCAATAGCACTGTTACCATTTTGATTTTCCTACTGAAAAGAGTAGTCGTAGATAGCCCTCCTCTTAAAGAATACAGGAACCTTCCTTCAGTTTGTCTATATTTTGTAGGTCGTACAAATCAGACCATTCCATAAAGTGACAGTATCCTACCTACGGACCTAAATTTCAAAAAATATGCATTTGATTACGATTTCGCATTGTCTTACATCATAGACGTCAAGAAATTAGAGATGATTCCTCTAGGCTTTGGTTGGATATTGGATCCTATAAGTAGTGAAATTTGGCCAATCAATGATGAGCAAACTAATTCCCACGGAGAGAAACATGTAATCAAATCTTTCCTTGGTTAGTGTAAAATAATGAAACATGTAAATCAATTAATTTTTTATTAAAAAAAAAATCAAATACCTCTCAGGAAGACAGGAACAGATTTACAGTTTCTGTGGGCGCCTGGTGCTTTTGTGTCATCTCTTTATGTCTTCAAAACCTCCACTGTAAAGTTGTTAGAGATATCCGTCATCTTATTCACATTTTCTTCCAAGCAATTGCAAATTGGAATTAAAAACAATATATATTAATTAAAAGAAAAATGCAACTTTCTTATGTACACAAAGATAAATTATCTTTTACCTAGAGTTTATATTCCTTAAATGTCTTTTTCTTAGGTAAATGTTCCACTGGGGAAAGGTGGTTGTGGATAGATTGATCTGTTCTACCTTTCTTGACATTTTCTATGACAAAAATAAATGAAAATGAGAGCTTGATGATTTAAACATTTTCTCCATCGCTCCTACATAACGCCTGCTAATCTCACATCAAGATGGCAGCTGGAGGGAGCAAAATAATCATAATCAAACACCTACCACTCATTTTTTTTTAATCATTTTTTTCACTTTAATCTCCCGTACCATGTTGTTGTGTTGTACTACGTGATCCAAATTATATGTTTTATTAAGTGGCTATGTGACTGAGTCAATAAGTTCTAGAAACTATTGCAGAATTTTATGTATTTTGGCGTGAACTTTCGTGTTTGTCCTGAAGAGGTCTAAATCAAAATATCAGAATTTTACTTTACAGTTCATATTTTTCTTAATTTTCAAATTTTCAATTAAATTTATTAATTATTCAATTAATACCTCTCTATTTAATCTTAATTGATAACAAATTAAATGAAAATTATCACCTTAAAAGAAATGTATCAACGGTGAAGAGTTTGAAATTTCGAACTGAAAATATTAAGTTTAAATCTCAAAATAAATAAAAATAAATTAAGAGAAGAGGAGGGCAAATTTATTATATAATTCACTATCTAATATATTGTATTATTAAATAAAAAACATCTCAAATCCCCTCTAATGAATTTGATACTATTAACTTAAAATCTCATATTTTTATCTATTAAGACATATTTAAGAATCCAATTAAATTGAAGAGGAGATATACAAGGTATATATGGCATGATATATATCTAATACAGATTCAACCAAAATTAATTAGTTTAACAAATTAGACTCGTAATTAAGACATTTGATTGTTTTTCTATATATATTTATGTAAATTAGAAAGTCAATAGGTATTTGGTATGAAGAAATGGCAAGCTTAAGAGGATTTTGTGGAGAATGTCATATATTGGATAGAAATAAATCATAACCGTTCAATATATGTTGTATTAAAATTAAAAGGATATGGGGAAGGAGAAGTTAATAATTGGAATTTAATATTTTTTTTCTATAAATATGGGTTGTGAGAGGAGTAGTAGGTAAGTGAATGAGCTGCAGATTAAAGGTCTGATTAGCCCTCCCCAAAAGTCTTCCATAAAAGGTCTCATTTTTCTCTCCTGCTCTGTATGTTTTTTTTCTAGGAAATTTAATCCATTAGAATATGACTCTGAAGAAAGGAAAATTGAAATCTCTCATCTTTAGCTGTTTCAAGGCGGCCGAGACCCCGCCGCCGGAAAATGATTCCAGCGAGAAGGTTTCCAGGCCTTTTTCATTCCGGAGAATAGTGTCCCTCTCAGATGTTAGTGATCTCAGCTCTGTTGATGACATCTCAAGCTCTTTTCTGGGATCAAACTTGCACGTGTTCACGTATGCCGAGCTGAGTTTAATTACTCATAATTTCTCGTGGAATAACTTCATCGGACAAGGTGGGTTTGGACCGGTGTACAAGGGGTTTGTCGATGATAAGCTTAAGCCGGGATTGAAAGCTCAGCCTGTGGCTGTCAAGGCCCTGGATTTGGATGGGTTACAGGGGCATCAAGAGTGGCTGGTAATTAATCCAATTCATATCTTCTTGAATTAAATCAATTTTTTTTTTCAAATTTACAATTTCTATGCTTAGTAAAAATTGAATTAATTTGCAGGCTGAAATATTCTTCTTAGGACAATTGAGGCACCGACACCTTGTTAAGTTGATTGGATATTGTTGCGAGGAAGAGAATAGACTATTGGTTTACGAATACATGGCAAGAGGCAGCTTGGAGAGTCAACTCTTCCGGAGTATGGTCTTTTGTAGCTTTATTATTTCTTATTTGCAAATAACGATATTAAATTTTCGCCCTGATAGCTATTGTAAAATTTGAAATTGAGAGATATATGAAATTTAGAATTTCGAATTTTTATTTGTCAAAAAAAAAAAAACACCTTTTAGAGAATTTTTTAATTTTTTAACTGTCAATTATTGTTGGAAACGTTGTTCACGTTGTTAATATATTATTATATATTCTGATTTGGGTCAGTTTATTTTATATAAATAAATATGCAGAGTATTCTGTTCCATTGCCATGGTCAACTAGGATGAAAATTGCATTAGGGGCGGCTAAGGGCCTGGCTTTCCTACATGAAGGGGATAAACCGGTGATATTCCGCGATTTCAAGACTTCAAATATCCTATTGGACCCTGTAAGACCTCAAGAAATCCAGAAAATTGATGACTCTGTGTTACGGTCCGGTTCGTACCAGTCTCAGATCATGTCCTAATTTCTGGCCCTGTTTATGTTTTTTGGTTTTAGGATTACACCGCTAAATTATCTGATTTTGGCCTGGCAAAAGATGGTCCAGAAGGGGAAGACACACACGTCACAACCCGAATTATGGGCACGCAAGGCTACGCGGCCCCCGAATACATCATGACAGGTATAGTTCTTTTAAGTCCTCTGTTAGAATTCATAATTTTAGTTACGGAAAGGGCAGATACTGACATAATAAGAGTTTTAAATTCGAATTTGAAACGCAAAGATTGACATTTCTTCTACTGGTTGTAGACTGTTTCATGGGTTTTCAAAATTGGGACCAGTTTTTTACTTTCTTAGTCAGAAAAATAAAAAAAGTGAAAGGGATTGACAATAAAATACCCAAAACCTAACCTAACCCAGTTTTCTTATACCAACTCCCAGGTCACTTAACAACAATGAGCGATGTCTACAGCTTCGGAGTTGTTTTGCTAGAACTTTTGACGGGTAAACGATCAATGGACAGCAGCCGGTCAGGGCGAGTGCAGTGCCTGGTGGAATGGGCCAGGCCTCTTTTAAAGGACCCAAGAAAGTTGTGCAAGCTTGTGGACCCCAAACTAGAGGGACAGTATTCCATGAGTGGGGCCCAGAAGGTGGCTGCATTGGCGAGTCAATGCCTGAGCCATTACCCCAAGCCCAGACCCAATATGGTTGATGTGGTCAAGACCCTGGAATCGCTTCAGGGTTTTGATGATGTGTTCAGTGGACCTCTTGTGTATATAGCACCGGATGAAAAGGATTCCGGCGTGGACAACAAGAAGGAGAATCGCCGTGGTCGCGGTGGCCGTTGTTGGAGGCACCGGAGCAAACTGCCGCTTTCCTCGGTGGCCAATTCCGATTATCCATGGTATTAGGATTGAAGTTTTAGAATCTTCTCCGTTTTGTATAAGTTTTGTGAATGTATATATTTTAACTTAATAATGTTATATTTATAATATCACATAAAATTATAAAAATATAATTTTATGTGATATTAAATTAAATATAACATGATATTATAATTTTACGTAATATAAAATAAAATAAAATAAAATATTAAATTAATTATATAATAATATATTATATTATGATATTATTAATT